GGGGGTGCTCCGGGGGCACAGGCGGCGGCCACCCCTGTCCCGTCGTAGCTGCGGCGAGGCGCGGGGTAAGGCACCGAGGAGGGGGCGGGGAGGGAGGGAATGATGCGGGATGCTCTGCGGGAACGGAAAGATGGACTGACCCGCTCTCACCTCCTCCCGCCTCCCGGCACACGCTAATGCGGGTCCGCAAGGGAGCGACAACTGCACGAGTGCTAATTAAAAGGGACCGGGGGCGGGGGGGGGTGGTCAGGTTGCGTCCGTGGGCCAGGAGTCCCCGGCACCCACTGTTGATAAAAATGTGTAAAAATAGTACTTTCCTAGTGACTTGCTGCTAGATGTAGTAAGGTAAGAGCTAACCTAAGGGATGACCGTGACGATTTCCGTTTTGAGATGGTATTATTTCTTTAAATATTTTACGTGTAGCCATCTGACCACTTTTTACTGGATAGCATATCAGCGTAGGGCTCGTAAAACTGGAAGGAGAGGCAGCGCTGGGAATACCGTGAGAAATGACAAAGAATTAAAGTATACTTGTGAAACAGGCACTGAGAAACACAGACACTCCACTCTTTATTTAAAAAAAATACATGCATGTCAGTCTTTAGAGAAGGCTAACTTTTGCCTGATACATCCTTGCAGGTGAGTCATTCATAGTGTAATAATTATCTATTCATGTACTTGAGCTTTTTTTTTTTTCCCCTCGTTTCTTACGAAAATAAGGTTTCTCATTTAAAAACATAACATTTCTGGACTATAAATCCAGAAGATTACTCTGTTTTTAATCATATTGAAACTACTCTTATTGCTACTCTTCTTTTTTATTGTTACCCATTAAGCTAAATTGAAATATGTTAAACATGTTTTTCATATAGTTCAAGGCCTGTGGATTTTCGGGTAAAGCAAGCATAAGGCTTCGAGCATATTTTCAAACAACATCTAAAAAGCTGCTTTTTCTATAAAGAATTATGTAGTGGATTTAAGGCTGCACACGTTAAAATTAGGTGTAATACATTTAATAATGCAGCACCTAAGAGAGAAAATACAAAATGTCTTCCTTGGAGAAAGCTCTCCGTACCTGGCTCTGCACATTTTAAGAGAAGATTTTGAAATAAACGATTCCTGAAACCAAGGCAGATATAAGTGTGTTTATGGGTCATAACACACAGCAATGAGATATCTGTATCTCTTTATACCCTTAAACGGGGCAGGAGCGGGGGTGTTGGTGGTTTTTAAAATTTGTTTCCTAATATGAACTTAATTAGGCAAACTCCCAGTTTCAAGCCAGCGATGTGATAGCTGAGCAGGGCAATAAGATCCTCCTCCCTTCTTAAGGCCCAATAAGCATCTTGTGCACCTTGATTTGTAGTATTAGCACTGTACACAGTCTGTAACCTTATACAAACAGAAGCATGGAGGAAACTGTATATAGAGACACACTGCAGAATCTCGCCAAAAACCGGGAGAATGGGGAGGGGGAGGGGAAAGGAAAGATATTTAAACAGATAGATAAAAGAGGGCAAAGGAAAAGCGATAGGCTGCAACTTTCAGGAAATTAAAAACAATGCAAATATACCTTTACATATGCATCAGTATTAAAAGTAATACGCGCTGGAGCCAACAGGAGCTGGAGGAGGAGAGAATGGCGCAGCGGTGGAGCCCTGCATTCACATCGGGGCCGCCCGCTCCCAGATCGCGCCGCAGCCCGGCTCCGAGTGCTCATTTCGAGGATGTTTATTTTGTTGTGGATGATGATGATGTTTAGAAGAAGAGAGAGGCCCGGTTTTTTGTTCCGTTAATTAGGATCTTCCGCAAATAGGGACGATCGTTCCCAGAATCGGCAGTCTCTTCTCGGAGCAGGGAGATTTGCATATTCTATTTTTTTTCCTATTTTTTATGCCCTCATTTCCTTGATGTATGTAAATGCAGACGGACGTGCCGTATGCCTTCAGTTGACGTCAGTGGACGTGACCTCTTCTCTAAACCTTGAACGTGAAGTGGGCATGGGGGACGCGGGGCGGAGGCGCAGCCGCTGAGATGCTCCGCGCTATTCCGCGGACGCGCAGGCTCCCGGCCGCGCTCTACTATATGAAATA